TATTATGTGCATTGAAGAAAAAAGACCACATATATGATTTGAAGAGGTTCTGCAGATAACAGTGAAACTTCACTGTGTTAGCATAGATTTTTACATTTTCTTTTATTGATAATTTTTTATTGATTCTTTTACTAATTCACAGTTTCCTGATTGGCCACAATTAGCAGTTTATTATCAATTATCTACATAGTTTGGTAAATAAACCCCACTGATTACACTGACCACTATTAGGAGATCAGCAACCAGTTATGCTAGTTACCAGTACTACTCCAAAGTTTATTCAAGTGAGAATTATTGAGAATTTAAAGTGAATTTCAAATTCAAATTGAAAACATAGTTGGCATGGAATATTTCCAATTTGGCAATTTTGTCTAAAATTTTAAATTCACTTTGAATTTCCAGCAATCCGTACCTTACTAAATAACATTGTCAACAAAGCCTAACATTAGGTCACAAGCACACAGTAAATCCCACATACAGAGAACGCAAACAAAAATCAATCTTGTTGTTGCATTATGTGTTAGGGAAATTGGTACTTTAGCCGGGGAGTGTGAACTATCGATGCTGTATTTAAATATTTCTGTTGGGAGTCCACTGTTAGTTTTTGAACAAGCCATTCTAAACGTTCCACATCTTTAGCTTGCATCATCAAGAGTTAATTATATTATATATTTATATGATGTATCAGTGTAATATATTTTAAAAAGTTAGCTTAAAAATAGCACTCCAGGAACTTCTAAAAAAAATACTTACTACTTACTTTTTATTAGCTTCACATAAAATAGGTCAATGTTTCACAACTTTCACATCAGGATATTATTGTAAATATATATATATATATATATATATTAGCAAACACAGTATTTGTTACTGCTAGCAAACAGTCACAGGAACTGTATACGTTGTTTGACTGGAACCTAATTTAAAAAATCATCCATCTTGTTTTGTGTTATGTGAAGTGAATAAACACAGAAAAATCTGGCCACAAGCGATTTTGGTCAGCCTTAATATATTTAACGGTTATTGCTATACGCACTGATTATTACAAAATAAAAAATGTACTGACACGCAGCGATGTTTGTATCCAGTTTCTCGCTCCAGACCATCACGATGCAAAATGCATTTTTAATCAAGGAAACTTCAGGGCACGGAGAAACCGCATTTATCAAATAGTGTTGTGCGAGAAAGAAAAAAAAATGGCGGATGCGTTGGTGATGAATCACACTTTTCCACCTCTCAGATCCCAAAGACTTTCTCACATCGTTTGGGAAACGAGTCACATCCAAGGTGGTTCTATTCAACAGGAGACATGCAATAGAATAATTTCATAGAGTAGGTAATTGCATTGCTTAAATATTTATGCTAGCTCATTAGGACAAGATAACTAGATCTATCAAAGGATTGCAAAGTTTTTAATGCAATGGGAGAGAACATGATTTATCGACAATAATATATGGCCTTAATTATCACCAGAGCTTTCTACAGGTTACTCCTGAAAAACTTTCATTCCCCCTCCCCGCCGTTGTTTTTAATGTAATTTCAGCCACAGCCTACAATTTAAAGGGGAAAAAAATTGTACAGCCTTATTTTACATTTTTGGCTTATGTCTACACACCGAAATGTAATTTGTATTAATATACTATTTATACTATATACTATATACTATACTAGTACTATATACTATTAAGCATTGACATGTTATATTTGGTTTGTGTTACACAAAATGCAAGTTTGTTGCCTTAACCCCTTAAAAACTGAATTTCTTCCAGTTGACCTTAAAACCTGGGCATAGAATATCCTACTTCGTGTTAGAGAACTGTAATGCTTCGACTTAAGTACAATTGCTATAAAGAAGAGAGTACAGTCAAGAAAGTACACCCTCTTTTAATTCAATAGTTTTACATATCAGGACATAATAACAATCATCTGTCCCTTAGCAGGTCTTAAAATTAGATAAATACATCCTCAGATGAACAACAACATATGACATATTACACCACGTCATGATTTACTTAACACATGACATATTACACCACGTCATGATTTATTTAACAAAAATAACGCCAAAATGAAGACGCCATATTTAAAAAAAAAAGTACAACTTTACTGTTTCCATAGGAATTAAGAGACTAAGTAGCCGACAGGTGCTGCTAATCAAATGCCTTGATTAACTGATCATTCATCAGCAAGTGTGACCACTTCTATAAAAGCCAATGTGTTAGTGGTTTTCTGGGGCATTCAGGTATGTGCTAACACAATGCCAAGGAGGAAAGACATCAGCAATTGTTGCTGCCCATCAAACTGGCAAGGGTTATAAGGTCATTTCAAAACAATTTAAAGTCTATTATTCGACAGTGAGAAAGATTATTCAACAGTGGAAAATATTCAATACAGTTGCCAATCTTCCCAGGAGTAGATGTTCCAGCAAATTCACCATAATGTCAGGCTGTGCAATTCTTTGAGAATCTGTAAAAA